TTTAATTGTGTAAGACTAATTTATTTTAAATAATGGTCATTGTGGAATAGTTGATTTATCTTATTTTATTGAAGATTGAAATAATGTTGAAAGCCATCCAGAGACAACAGTAATGGGCGGCCTACAATTTTTTAAATAAATAATAGGTTTAGGGTTTGTCTTTTTTTTTCTAAGGTCTGCAATGCCCAAAGACTCCAGATTTCTAGAAATCCAGCGCATGAATTGTGCAGTGAAATTGCTTTTCTCAAGTTTCATGGATTCCATGGACTTGCAGACTGCACTTTAAAAAAGTCTGGAGCTTTATGCAAAGGTCACTATAGAAAACTACCAAAAATGCATTCCCCCCAGCAGCTGCACCACAAAATGGCACATTTGTGAATTTGCACAGACGTGCACAGACGTGCACACAAGCTGCCATTTCCCCAAGAGCAGGGCAGGAAAGAAATCTGTGCAGCTAGTGCACCCCCCTTCCTTCCCCCTCCAGAGTAGCACTATTAATGCTGCCCTGCTGGGCTTCCCCCATCCTCCATAGAATGCCTGCAATCTTCCAAGCTCAGAGGGTCACAGGCATCCACCCTGGATTGTGCCCCATCCCAAAGTGACAGGCACTGGACGGCTTATGATCCTCGACCCCATGACGTGACATCCAAAGAGAAGGGTTAGCCAGCTAGAAGGGTGGGGCCCAGGGTTACTCAAGAGGAGCATTCACTAGTTCCTAGCTTGTGTCCAATGAACTGCTCTGTGCATGCTCAGAGGCTTTCTTTGTGAGTTATGGTTTGCTGGATGTCCAACTGGAGAATTAAGAGCCTCTGGCAAGGAACGGTCTGTCAACTGAAAGTGAGAAGGGAGAACCTTGCTAGCTTTGGCTATTATTGCTGCTGGGGACCAGTCCCTCTTGGCCACCCTAAAAAAAGTGGGAACAATGCACCCTGCAGAGTCTACTTATCTAACAAATTTTGCAGGAAGAAGAACAGTTTAACATTCAGAAAGGGAACCTGTTTGATGCAGAGACACTAAAACAATATTCACTCTTTCTTGGGTTGATGGCAGTCTTGGAAACGAGAGAGACTCTTACCCTTCCGTAAAAGTTGTAAAGTGCTTGTGTGGATAGTTTTACTTTCCAAGTCATGGAACTTGGATAACTGAAGAGGCGCTTACCTGCTTGCATGTTTTAGGAAGATTCTGTGTCAGGTTCGAAAGACGCACTAGGTATGGATCCAACTAATATATGCAGGTAGCAACTGTACTATTAAAAGGAGACAATAGATAAATAAAAGCACGCAGATGGATGAAAATAACAGCATGTCTAGCTGAAGGTTGAAGCCACCTTGAATACAAACTTGGCACCGCTCGAGAAGTGGCAGGAACGCTGCTCCACTCCCCTGCCAGCTCCACTTTGCATCAAGACCCGCTTTCGATGCCACAGACCTATTAAAGTTGAGGATTGTGGTGCTGCGTGTGTCTTTTTCTCGAAACTGGGTCAGCAAGGGAAGCGCTCGAGATTAGGCGGGGGGAAGAAAGACAACAAGATCTGCCCTCAGCACAAAAACCTCCGTCGATGCCTGCCAGCCGGTTTCCATACCAAGCTCCAAAAGGAGGGGGCAGCCGCCTTCCCTTTCCTCCAGAGTGGTTCTCCTGTAGGGAGTTCCTCTGAACTGCTTCCTTGGGGAGCAGTTCTTCTTTGTTGGGTGCCCGGCCCTCAGGGACACTTTTGAAGTTACCCTGAGAGTTAATACCCCATGGGGGGCAGTAGACGCCTCCTATAACTTTCCCAGCCCCCAGACCAGCTGCCCCTTCTTCCTGGCTTTCTGCTCAGATCTGCCCCCAGGTTCCTTCTCCATCTGAGATGGGAAAGTTGACTACCTGGGATAGGGGCTTTGGAGCTATTGAGATTCTCAGCGTAGTGGCCACCTGATACTTTGGACTACAGCCTCCTTCATCCCTGCCCATTGGCCCTGCTGTCTGGGGATGATGGGAGTATTAGTTCAAACCCCTTGAGGAAACATACTAAACTGATGCTGATCCTATGTGGCAGCCCGGCACATGTCTTCCTGGTTTGAGTGACCAGGTGGTCTTGGCTCTGGGGCACGAATCAGTATGCTTTCTGCGTAAGCTTCTCCTTAGGTTCTTTTAATGCTCTGCAAGTACCTGAAATGTCTCAAAGTGAAAGGCCAGGATCTCTTCTCATCCATTCCAGAGTGCAGGACATGGAATAGAAACATAGAAACAGAGTGAGTCAGAAGGGGTCTCCTGGGCCATCTAGCCTGACCCCTGGTTCCAACCGGCTCCACTTGTGACATGCCTGCCATGTGAAATGGACTCAGGTTAAAAGAATCCAGATCTAGACTAGACACCAGGAAGAATTTCCTGACTGTCGGAGCAATACAACAACGGGAGCTGCTACCTGGGGAAACCATGAACTCTCCTTCGCTGGAGACATTCAAAAAGCATCTGGACAGTCATCTGAGTGGGGTCACGTAACCTGGTGTTCTGCAACAGCAAGAAGTTGGACCCGACGGTCTTTCGGCCTCTTCCAACGCTATTCTATGATTCTATGACCATTTCTCTGATTAATCCATGAAAATGCACATCGTTTCCGAACAAAACCTCTAGATGCAATCATGCACTACTTTTAATGCATTCTACACTGACACCCTAATTTAAAATATACAAAGTTTGCCACAAAGTAGGTGGAATTCGTGGGGATTTTGTTAGAGGAAAGAGCATCCCCTACTCCTCTCTACGTGCAAGCTGCAGTACTCTAGTGGGAGAGCTACATATTCATCATAAATTTCGAAGAATTGCAGACACTGCATCCAACTTCCTCTGTAGTTAGATCCTGACATTGACTCTCCAGAATGAGGGACCTTTTCCACCGTTTTCACACCCCATCCTTTAATGGAAGATGCCCAGGACTGGACCTTGTGCACGCAAAGCATGCTGCGCCATGGGATGCCATTCCCAGTTCCTGTCCCACACCCCCTCCTTCAAGCAAAAGCTGAACTTGGGGCCAAAGCCCTCAGGCTGCCTGAGTGGAGGCATCTCTCGGCCACGCTGCCTGAAGGAGCATAGCAAGTCGCTGCCATCTCGCTTCACTTATTTGCACGCCAGAGCTTTGGGACCAAAGTTGTCCTTGGTTGTCTCCCTTCGAGGCCGACAAGGAAGGCGCAAACCTACCACTGCTCCTTGTGATTACATTCAACCATGCACCCAGCTGCTAGCAAATCCACCTGCATCCTTTGCAGCCTAATTGGTACTCGTCCGTTGTCCTCTGACTAATATATTCAGCCATGAGTTCAGGGGATCTCTGAAGACATACGTTGTCAGCTAGTCGGAAGGAAGCATTGACAGGGGACTTAAGTCTAATCTCTCACATTCAGGCCTGATCATTCCAACGGACTTAAGGAATGTTTGAAATGAAGAAGGGGTCTTTTGTTTCATAAATGTCAGAGAAAAGATGGGTGTTTCTTTGCACTGGAGAAGAAAGCTTACCCAGACGCTTTCTCTAGCCACGCCCCCACCTTTCCCAGCAATCTTTGCTATGGCCCAAAAGGTCCCAACAAAACAAGACAGATATTTAAAAAATAATAATTTATATACTTGAAATAAGTACTTGTGTGCTTACACCATACAAACACATTTCTGAAAAGCACTCCTAGCAGATACCCAGTTCCACCAGCAGATGGGCAATTACCCCACCCTCGATTTCTGGTGAACGATCAAAGAGTGACTCATTTCTGGAATCAACTGCCTGTTTCACCAGATCTGGGAGCCGAGAAGCTAACAATGACGGGGCCATTGACCCACCACACAGTTCTTTCCAAAGGCATCCGGTTTGAGGGCATTATGATGCTTGGCCAAGGATTCAGAACCTAAGAAAAGCCATGCTGAATCAGAGCTAAGGTTTAGCTTGCACCCTATTGCTCTCGGTATATCTGGGGTTAAACATGGTTTAATATGTTCTTTTCTCCCAGTATCCAAAGAACAGGTATGTTTTTTGGAAAGTGGGCAACTTGACAACAGGTAACCACAACAAAGTAGGACTAACATACGTACATACCCAGAACATGAGACCATCTTCTCCAGGAGCCCCTTCTAAACAAACGGAGGTGGGTGGCTATGAGAAGGGGGGCTTTTTGGTTGTGGCACCCCAGTTTTGGAATAAGCACCCCAGAAGAGTTCCCTGGTGTCTATTTTGCATTCTTTTGGGTGCCAGGTAAAGAACTTTCTATAGCAAAAACCATAGTATTTTAAATAGTTCAACATGTGAAACCTGGTTTTTTATTACCTACTGCTGTCGTGCTTTTATGCCAAATCATAGCAATTGCTTTTATAGTTTTACTCTTTCAAATTAACGTGCGGTTTTAGCAGTGGTTCGATTTTGGCTTTTGTTAACAACCCAGAGAGCCTGGGCTATTGAGCAGTGTAAAATGAAGTAAATAATGACACAACCCTCTGTGCTTACTTTTGATCCACGTCCTCCTAGGCTGTCTCTTGTGGTGCATCTCCTCCAATGCCTCCTTGTGAAGGTCTATGCATTAAAAGGCAGTCTATTCAATACTTAAAATAAACAGATGACATGGCAATGAGAGACACACCTGGAGAATTCCGGTTAGATGCGGGGTATGTGCTACCCACTCAGGGAACATAAATTACAACTGTGCTCTTCTCTTTGCACTGTGGTGATTATCACAGACAAACTGCACCTGGAGGAATAAGATGCAGGGTAGAAGGAGGGCTGTCCTTCACACTCTCCCAAAGAATACATGATGCCATCTAAATGGCAGTAAGGTGTCTCCTTACAATTCAGAGGCTAAGCAAGCACAGCAAGACACAATGTGCTCCCCAACTTGAGTGGCAGGGGAAGCAGGTCAATGGCCCCACAGGAGGTTTCTCCTGTCTCCATAGCCCCAGCGTGGCTTGTTGACTGTGCTGAGTTTGGTGCTTGGTTTGGACTAGATTTGAGGTGTGGTGGTGGCACCACCCAAGAATCTATTCACCTGCCTGTGTTTGGAGTGAGAATGGCGGCTGCAGAAGATTCAGAAGAACGTACAGCACTGGTTGGTCTGCAGAAGATTCAGAAGAACGTACAGCACGGCCTGGGATTGTGGGCCATCCTGAGACTGAGATGAGTCAATCAGAGATGCTTGTCTCAAGACCAGATGTCCCAAGGTGGGTGGGCAAGCTCTAGGAATAGCCAAGATGTACAACTGGGAGGAGGGGATGTGAAACAGGGGATTCTCTCAGGACAAGCTAACAACGTTGCTACAGGACTTACTCAAAAGGTAAAAGCAGAGATACAATACAAGCACCAAATTACATGGATGGGACAAAGAACCAGGAGTGGTCCCCCATCAGCAGGAATAGTTGGAGCAGATGCCAGTGCATCCCAGCAGAGCATCTTCCAGATTCCCAAGGGGCACCCCTGACAGTACCCACTGCCAGGCATCTTCTTGCACTCCATGGTCAGCTCAAACAGGCAGAAGGTGGACACACAGCTAGTTGGATAATGCTAATTTCAGCTCTTCCGCAGTCCATGATTTGCCCTCAAGCAGGGCAACCCTCAATTGTCTCAGGAACAAGTGTCGGTTCACTTCTTGGTCCTTCCACACCAAGTAAGTGTTCCTCCGTAAATAGCGAAATAACCCCAGTTTTTGCTGTATGACCTTCTTGTCCACTCCTTCTAAAACAATCAAGACAAGGCTGGCTTTGCTGTCTAACAGTTGCCAAGACTGAGCCACCTCAAGCTCAAAATTGCACCACCGGCTTTCCAGGAAGTGGCTGGAGACAACTGCTATGACTTTCCTGCTGCTCTGGAAGCCTTCCTTGATAATGTTGGTGATGATGGAGACACCTGGGAGGAAGTCTCGATAGAAGAGGCAGAGGCGGAAGCGAGGCACTCCCACTTCCAGGGTCTCCTCCAGTTCTCTCTTCACCCACTCCTGGTCCTCGCTCGAGTAGATTACAAAGGCATCATAGCCATTTTCCTTCTCAGTGGTGAGATTGTCTCCAGTGAGCAACACCATCATATAATAGAGATGGAAATAGTACTTATAAACCAAAATCAAGGATAACACCAAAGCCAAGGAGATGCTAACTGTAGCAGCCACGGTGGTGGTGCTGACCTGGCAGGAAGATAGGTCAAATTTAACCATGGGGACACCTTTTAAGTTCATGGGATTGTGACAGAACACGTTTTCGGCATGTAGGAGAGCTGTGTGCTCTTTTGCCCACTTCAAGAACTTCTGGTTGTCGCAGGAACAATCAAAAAGGTTCTGAGAGAAGTCCAGTCTCTTCAGGCTACTGGGCAAGTTCTTCAGATCCTTCTCTGTCAGAGAAGTCAGCTGGTTGCTATGGAAATCCAGGACAGTGAGGACATGGAGGGATACATAGTTTTCTGAATGGAGGACTAGGAGTTTGTTATGGCTGACATTCAGCTCTCGTAGGTCATGAAGGTGGGCCAAGCTACTGAGTGAGAGATGCTTCAGTTCGCACTTGGAAATGTCCAGAATTTGTAACTTAGCAAGGTTGTTGAACTGGTTACCCAACTGATTGTTATCAAAAGAGTTGCCTGCCATTTTTAGAACTTGCAGGTTATCCAAGCCACAAAATGGGCACTCTATCATAATGTCAGTATGGGTGTAGGAAATATCAAGGTAAATGAGATTGGAAAGGCACTGGAAAACAGAAAGCTTTCCTGGGTTAAAGAGTCTGGTACAATGAAAATCCAGGTATTCCAGTTTGGAGATACCAGAGCACTCTGGAGGTAAACGGATAGCAACATTGAAGCTAAGGTTCAAGGACTTCAAATTTGGAACCTCATGCATGAGGCAGACCCAGCAAACAGAACCATCAATGTAGTTTTCACTGAAATCCAGGATCTCAAGTTTCTTCATGTCCTTGAAGCCCTCTTTAAACTGAAGGAGCCTTCTGGGGCTGTGGGTGATACGCAACACCCTCAGTTCCTTCAAGGAAGACAGGTTGTCAGCTGGCACTGTTTTCAAATCACTATTCTTGATTTCAAGTCGCTGTATGCTGGTGTTTGCTGGGAAAGGTGACACATGTTTGATGCCGATGTTCAACAGCCTCACAGTGGAGATATTGTTCAAGCAAGCCGAGAGTATGTTTGTGTCCAACAGGTCACCCTCAAAGTTAATAAGACTTAACTCCTTCAAGGGCACATGGCATAGGCCATCTAAGAGATCTTTGCTGAAGCTGTTCAATTTCTTCTTGTTCCTATACTCTCCTAACACTAGGCTATTTATGTGTGAGCCAGACAGATTCTTGAGGCAGTCTTGCATAATGGTGGTGCTTTCAAAGCAGTCTCTCAGAGATAGTTGCTGGAAATGGACCCCTTTCAAGGCGTTGAGCTCAATATACTTTATGTCATTGTTGGACAACACCAACGTGAGGTTCTGACCTGACAAGGCATCCAGATCTCCTACAGAGATAGAGGAGATATGATTTGAGTGGAGACTTATCCACTGGAGAAATAGGAGGTGGGAGAAATATTCTGGAAGCTTCAAGGAATCAATGTGGTTATGACTGAGATTCAGCTCCTGGAGATACTTCAGGTGCCCAATGGGCAGTTTGTCCAGTGAGAATAGGTTGATTTCTACAGCAACCAGTCGTCGTAAGGAAATCAAATCATGAAAGGCTCTTGGACCCAGAAACTGGATAGGGTTGGCAGTCAAGATCAAGACAGAAAGGTCACAGAGGCCCTTAAAAGCGTCATCTTCAATAACCTGAATGTGGCATCTGCAGGAGAAGAAGGAAACAGCACTTGAATGAGGATCCTTGCTTTCATGCTGCACTGGAAAGATGGAAAATATGCATGTTGGGTCTTTGGTGCATTAGTACTGATGAATGATGCAAATCATTGGGTGAAAAAAGGGTGGGTGAAAAAAAGTAGATTCACCACTCTGTGAGCTGAAAGGGACGGTCATTATGGATATTCTGCAGGGCAAGGTAAGCATCATGATTGTGAATATTTGACAATAAGGCGAAGTTATCATGATGAGGCCATGCCTGACTCAGTCATCAGCCTCCCACTGTGTAGTGGTTTGGAGAAGCCCATGTCTTGCCACAAGTGTCTCTCAAAAGATGCTGGTGGAGATGGCTTCCCCCATGAGTCATCAGCCATTCCCATGAGAGCACAGCTATCTTTTCCCACACTATAATCCCTCTGGGAATAATGCCGCGTAAAGGCAAGGAATCGTTGCACTGAGGCATTTTACACGGCTGAAGTATGCCAGTGAACTTGGAGGAGGAGTGGCGAAGCATGGGAGGAGGACGGGGCAGAGGAGGAAGTCCCTTTGCTAACGAGTCCACCTCCAGTCAATGGCATTTCTCCGGAGAGGAGGTACGAGGCCACATTTAGCTTTAGTGCCAGGTGAATCGTTTGGCTTTGTTCTGAACCATGTTCACCCCTAAAGGCTTAAATGGTTCAGAGCCCACTTCCGTTAGGTAGGGATGTGACATGCAATACAGAATCTGGCTCTTTTCTGCTCACTTGATTTCTTTCTTGTGCCCAGACCTCGCCAGGAGGCAAGCTGAGCTGAGGTCAGGTTTGCACATTCTCAGGAATGCTAGTGACTTGTTTGAGCAAGTTATGTAATCCTTGCATGAAGAATGCAAGGACATCTATGTGAGGAAGCAGGACTCTGCTTGGACCCCCTTCCTGCCACATCCCCATTCAGACACTTGGCATGAAGTGGACAGAAGGCAGGCTGGGGTCCAAGGAGTAGATTCAAGGAAATCCAGTGGATTTCCCCCAACTGGTTTTCTCACATATCATTTAGGAACACAAGGACAGGTCACTTTAGCTCGGTATTTTTTGCAATAGCTCACAATAGTTACCTGGGTTTTCAGGAAGGGCCTTGCCCAGCCCTCACCGTAGATGCTAGAAATTCGACTAGGGACCTCCTACATCCATGGCAGGAGTTCTACCACTGACCTCCAATGTGTCGGACACATAAATCTAACTAGACTTTTTTCAGAGGACATCTTTTATGTTCCAGGTGTGGAATGGACACCCTCAGACAGGCACCTTCACATGGAACACCTGGCCATAAGTCCACCATGTTCAGTGGAGGCCTCCTACACATGCCCCTCCCTAGGGAGGTTGAGGCTAAAAGGGATGCTGCAAGGAGAAGGACCATTTGTGGAATGCCTTGCCACTGGAGAGCGATCAGATGCCTACTTCATTGAGTTTTGGACACCGGACAAACTTTTTTTTTATGTACCTATGGTACTCCTTAAACTATTTATTTGGCAATACTTATTCTAGTTTTTATTTCATGTATTAGAAACATAGGAACAGAGCGAGTCAGAAGGGGTCTCCCGGGCCATCTAGACTGACCTCCGGCACCAACCGGCTCCGCTCATGACATGCCCACCATGTGGACGTCCAAGCCTATCCTTGGACACCCGCACCGATGGGGCCTCAACCACCTCTCGTGGAAGCCCAACCTCTCGTGGAGTATTAATTCTATTCATTTAAATTTTGCTTAAATTGTGTTTTATCTTGTGCATTTGTTGTACTATTCTAACTGTATTATTTTATTCATGTTGCTATTGATATTTTTATTGTAATAGCCACCCAGAAAGTATAATGCTCATCAGCAGCTTTTATACAGATCTAATAAATAAATACATGAATCCCACTTGGACTGGTGACATGAGATACCAAATAAATCACCTTACCTAGTGAGGTCCAGAAATTTCAATGCGAAGAGTGAAAGAAAACTGTTTTCCATCAGAGTCTTCAGTGGATTGAAGCTCAGATCCAGGCTCTGGGTAGTATTTGGAATATCCAGTGGAATCCCATTGAGGTTCCGTTCCATGCATTCATAAGTGGTTCCTGGGACCACCTGGGAAGAGGAGATAAAATACATGAGCATTCACAAGGCATTTACAAAATATAGTTAAGTTAAATGGAAACACCAAAGAGATCTATGTAGTGAGCATTGGACCAAGATATAACTGAGAGCCAGTGGGGTGTAGTGGTGAAGAGCATGGGACTGGGACTCAGGCGATCTGGGTTCTAGTCGCTGCTCAGCCATGGAGCCAACTGGGTGACTTTGGGCCAGTCAGACGCTCAGCCCAACCTACCTCACAGGGTTGTTGTTGGGGGGAGAAGACGGAGGATGATATAAGCTGCCTTGAGCCCTTTGTAGGAAAAAGGCAGGATATAAATCGAAAAATAAATAAATAAATAAAATATAACTGGGGGCCCTTGAAAGGAAATAACTGCTGAGATCTGGGTTCAAATCCATCTCTCACCCACCAATTTCAGTGGGTGTTCAAAGGGGGTGGAGCTGCCCTATAGGCCCTTCTATTCACAGTGAAGCTCTGCCAGAGTATTTATGCATGATGTATTAACCACTGTTGGACCACAGACCAATCAATACAACATAGTTTGCACTGTGTTGAAAATGTGAACTTGTGGCATGAGCATAATTGCTGGAGAAGCAGGAAAAGTTGGAAATGGGGGTGCATGGAGCAAAACAGCTCTTAAAAAGATCCCCTCCCAAGGCATCAGTTGTGTACAGTTGGAGAGGAACAAACAAGCCAAGATTTTTAAAGGGGGACGTTGGCACTTTCTCCTACCTGCTCATGAAGTCAGTGTTAGAGAAGAATATTTGCTGTCGCTAGCTGCTGTTTTCCCACCTCCTGGAGGATCAATCCCCCCTTCTCCTCCACCCAAAAGCAACCAAATCCCCTCTCCTGGGCTGACTTTCCCAAGATTAAGTTCCACTGAACTTAAAGGCAATTTGCTTTTGAGTAAGCACCACTGAGGATCATGTTATTTGCCCTTCCTTATGGAAGAGGGAAGTATCACTGAACTTGCTCTCTACTTCACTGGTCCAGTCAGAGAGGAAGATCGAGAAAGATAACAGTTTGACCACACTAGTAAAAATGGAATCAGTGTAGATTGACATTTAGGAAATCCCTTAGTAGATGAGTAAGTAGGGATGGAGGCTACGGCCAGGAAGAAGGAGAGGCAACTCTGGAATTTTCTGCCCTGGGTTAGAGACAGACTTCACCAGATCTGGGCAGAGACAGAGATGGACACCTGGCGAGGAAGGGGGGCAAGGCAGAACAGAGGAGTCCACAAAACCTGCATGTATTGATTTGTATGTCTACATACACATTTAAAGATTATGACTATGATTTCAAGAGAAATGCAGTTGCTCTCAGTAGGATGGGGAAACCCCATGCCTACTGCTACATCCTGGTACCCAAAAGTGCCCCAGTCTCTCTTCTTTATCTCAATTTAAACTGGACTTGGACTGGACAGCTCTTCAAAGAGAGGACTCCTGAAACCAGCAGACTGTCTAAACAGGCGGACACATGAATCCTAACACTGATTTCTCAGGGCCAGGGGAAAGCAGTTCGTTGCTCCACCTCAGGCAGGGAAACAAACCAGGCCAGTCCCGAATTAAGTTGAGAGAGAGACACCCATGACCCCCAGAATTGTTCGCTGAGTTCTAGACAGGAAAAGAGACTCCAGAGGAAGCAGCGGTTGCTCTTTCCAAGTCACCTACCTCCACGCAGGGATTGAGACTTCGGGTGATCCACTGGGACCAGAAAAGCACAGCCAGATTTAACGTGATGCAGCCTGGTGAGGAGAAGGGAGTGCTCCTGGGCATTTTCAGGTTGTCTGCTCCCAATGGAAAGAAGGCTCAGGTGGAATAAGTCAAGGCAAAGATAAAATAGGGGAAAGTTGCTTCGCCATGTAAGGGCTTGTATACTCCATGACAGTTGGCTGGTGAGAGAGAAACGAGGGGGAAGGAAGTGAAATTGAAAACAAAGAAGCCAGGAGACCTTCTCTCTTATGCAATATCTGCAGTGACTGCCGGTAAATGAAGTTCTAGAGAGAAACGCAGGGATGAACCAAAGACCAAGAGGAACTCAGCCCTTCACTTGCTATTTCCCCGTCTCCAGCTGAACGACACTTAAATTACAGGTATGTGGAGTTTTGCTATTCTTCCTTCTGCTCTTTCTTTTTTCCCCTCCATCCCATCTGTCTGGAAAAGGGGCTGGTTACCCCTTTCCCTCTGATTCTTTTAGTCCAAAATTTGTTTCTTCATGCATTCATAATCCTGTTCTTTTCTTTTAATGAGAACACTCAAACTCCATGTGGGAGAATTCCAGTTGCTTTGTATTTTTATGTGACTAAATCCTTATTCCCAGTCTGAGATGCAAATCAGAATAGAGTTATCTTTCAATCTGTATTCTTTGCTGAATTTTTCAGTGAAATTTTCAGCTCAGAAATTGCGTATAGAAATTGATATAAGGGAAAGCTGCAGATGAAACACACACTTTTCTGCATGGAACCCTCCATGATATTAGGGAGTGCGGTGTACAAAAGAGTGCATTAGAGAAACTGCATAAAAACATAAATATGTTATAGAATATATAGGTATGTTGAACATGAAAATAAATGCGGGTGTGTGAAAATGCATGGTTTAAAGGAAAACTCACACTGATGGGGAAATTGGAAGGAATTGACTCATGACAGAAGAGTTGCAAAAGTGGTTCGGAAAGGAAATGGAGTGACCCAACCATCCCTAGTTTACAGCAGAATGTTAAGACAAAGTTAATATAGACTGTGTTTTCATTTCACTGCACATTATGGGCAGTTATGCAATTTCAAACACAGTGCTTCTGCAGAGATTATTAAAGAAGGATCGATTTGCATTGGAGGAAGGGAGGCTAACTCCCCAACTGACTGTTAAAAACACAGATCGGCAGATGAAAACAATGAAGCGATTCTTCAGAGAGCAAAAGTTGAGTAAAGGATGCTGTACCCCCTTCCTTGAACTTTACTGTTTCCATCTACACAGAAGGTCAGAGGTTGCCCGTCTAGGTCTACATTCTCCAGAAATGGAAGTGCAACCAAGAAAACTCCCCTTAATGATTGGCCAAGCTCTTCTCACCCACCGTTTCCACCTGCTAGTTCTTGTCCCATCAAACCATCTGCTTCATCTTCTGTGTGCCAGACCTCCAAGTATGACTATTTCATCTCCTTTGCTCCTCTCTTCTGCAGGTTAAGCCCATTCATTTCTTCCGAACATTCCTCCTCAGATTTGGTTTCCAACCTCCATTCACGTGCCCCTGGACATGTTGGAAAGATAGCAGATAAAAACAACAGGCTTTTATCCTGAGCAAGAAGCTGAAGAAATTGATAGAAAATGTTGACCATGCAAGGTCTGAAAGCACACTGAGATTTGAGATACTTGCAACAAGGGCTGTGTCTCCACCATCTGCAGCTGCAGGGTTTCCTCTTGAGGTGGCCCTGGAGAAAGGATTTGTGTAGCAGTCTGTACGCACATGCCAATGCCATCAAGAATCCCAGTTGGCGTGCTGATGTCGGAGCGCAGTGGGACAAAGGAAGAACGCTGAGGCCCATTGCAAAGTTTGTGAGGGGTTCACATGGGAGCACCTGGAGCCCCGACAGAACATTCCTCTGGTTGGAATCTCCAGTCTGCCCCACAAGCCTCGTGAAGGAAGGGCTCTGTGGCATCATCTCAGGTCTCTTTTGCTCCTAAGGTCAAACTAGCCAGGACCTTCCCAAGGTCCTTTCCCCTGCCCTCTCCAAGGCATATCTTTACCCAAAAAGTTATTGCCTTCTTGACATTTCCAGCTGGGAGCGATGGGTCCTATTCAGATATAGCAGCATTTTCTCCTCTGGGTAATGGCAGGAATCGACTCCCAGCCAGTAGTTCTTTGTGTGTTAATACCAAGCATGGTCCAGTGTTTTCCTCTCTGAAACCTTGGGGGTGAAATGAAATATTTGGCCTGGTTGGCAGGACTGGAAGCAGGAACTCTCAATGCCAGTCCATGTGGGGACGATGGTCAGAGATGTCTACTTCCTTCATTTGTTGCTTATGGAGTTCCCAGGTCTTCGGGCTGGCACCTGTTGAAAACAGGATACTGGACCAGAGGGATGCTTGGTCTCCATAAGGAAGCCTTTTGTTACTACAGGTAAGCGGAATCTCCATTTAGCTGTAGGGAACCAGAATCTCCAGAACCAGATGTAGTGCACCCTGGCATCTGGCATCCTAGAGGACCTGAGCCGGAAAGAGTTCTGGCTCACAAGCTTGCAGGCTTCCCAGGAAATTCAGCCAATCACTTTGGGGATCAGGATGGACAGACCTTTGGCTAAATCCAGCAGGGCACATCTAGCAAAAGACCGAGACGAAGGTGGAGGTGGACCCTGCACACAAGCAGCATGGTCCCTGTGACCCTCCCTCTGTTGCCAGAGTACAAGTTGCCCTGCTGTCCGTTAGACTGGCTAGGAGTTGAGGATGCAAGTTTCAGTCCAACAACATCTGGCAGCCACACCTTTTCCAACTCAGCTATACGCCCGTGGTGGAAAAGAGGTGGTCCTCCAAACAGGGTTGGACTACAGCTCCCAGAAACCACATTAAGGAGTAGTGCGAGATGCAATCCAATAATATCTGTATGGCCACAAGTTCCCCATTACTGCTGTGAGCATTCCTCTTGAGCAAACAATCTCAGTTCAGTGGGACTCACACCCGGTAAAATGACCTAGCTTTGTGCAGGCACGGGCTTCTTAAAGAAATCTTGGCTTGTAACCCTATCCACTTGAGCCACTCAATTCTTTATTCCTTGGTTGAACTGGCTTAGATCGACATTCGTATCCAAGTAATTCTGCGGGGAAGAAACAGAATGTCCCCTCCATTTTCGGATAATGACAGCATGCTTTACAAGGTTCCCCTGCAAAAGGACATTCCAATCTGCATGAGAGTGAACAGGGAAATAATGATGCTTGAAAAGGGTGCCAGGCTCTTGGGACTGGGAGATTCTCTCTCAAGACTATGCTTGTTCACTGATAGAGGACAATCATTTTTGTTTACCTTGCAAAGAGGTAGAGGGGGAGAAGGAGACAATTAAAAATATTCCCAGTCAGTATGTGAATATACAATTTCATCTGAGGCTTATTTATTTATGTGCCATCCTGTTAAGAAGGCCTCAGGACAGCTTAAATAAATAAATAACATAACATAACATTAGCATAACATAATACAAATAAATTTCAGATCCACCCTTGCTGCAGATTAACTGGCTATGCATCTACAGTTCCCTCTCTGTGTGATTAATCATATCCTGACCCCTCCCTAGTACATGTGACCTAAATAGCTCAGAACTGTCATGTCATTTTCTGGTCACTATAAACAGAAAAGCAGAGCTCTGTCTTTCCTTTTTGTGCATGACATGAGGGCCAAGTCATGCAGTCAGCAAGAGAACCATTTGCCCACAGAGCACTTGGTGTCCCGCCTGAAATGAGAACTAGCCATTGGCTGCTGCTGCTTCCTGGCATTTATTGCGAAAGACTAGACTGATGACCATTCTAGAAACCCCATTCATTTGACTCTGCTCATGTAGGACTTCATGAATAAGGGGCATGTGCACATTTCATGAGCCCACATGAGAAAAATCCTAACCCACGGATTCCACATAGCAGTGATCTAGAGACACGTGGCTTTTGTTAGACCTGTTCCATCCAAAATATGCAAATTGCCAGGCATGTTTTGCTCCATCATTCGCTCTTTGGTGGAATCGGATGCCCTTTGGGGTTGCAGGACAGTTTTGTTCCACTTGTGCAAAAGTGGATTTGCACACATGGTCCTTAGAGCAAGGCACTGTAGCACTAATGCAAGCTGTTGCAATTCCATGGAACAGGAAAGGATTTTGGCCTACAAGCTGAAAGGCTTCCCAGAGCATTCAGCCAATCGCTTTGGGGACCAGGATCCCCAAAGTTCCTGGAGCCCTCATTTCATGAAAATGGTTGGCTTGCGGCAGAATCTGCAGGTTGGACACACAGAAATTGGAATGCATCTGAAGATTCATCTGATGCCCATTAAAAAGCCAATATGCTCTGAAAAGGGCTCTTGGCATCGGTTGTTACCCCAGGCCTATCAGAAACAAAGAGACTCTGTTTGAAAAGTTCTCCCAGGCATGTCCCAGTCGTCAAGGCCATCTCCAAAAGGTCAAGTACAAGTTAGGGAACTACTTATTCAGTCCAATCTCCAATGACGTGAGCCCATTCATGAGCAAAGAGGAAACAGGCCTACGGAGGCCTTGGCCTGGGAACTCCGGCAGCTGAAAGCATAGCATGTGTTGGTGTCATGGAGTCATGTCAAAGGCCTGACTGTGGAAGGGACATTCCCTGTGGTCCCACTCAAAGAATCAGAAAAGTAGAGTTGGAAGGGGCCATGAAGGCCATCGGTCCAACCCCATCTATTGCAGGTCACCATGTTACACCACTCCAATGGCTGCCCAGTCTCTTCTTGAATGTCCTACTTCTCAATATTTATCAGCATAGAACTCTGCCTCACACTGACCTTGGACATGGGTCCACCTAGCTAGCGATTAGCTGCCATTTCCTCACCACACTGCAAGAACATTTTCCCCAGCGCTCTTTCACACTAGCAAGGAGAGAAGGCAGACTTTCTGCCCACTGAGCGACCACTGAAGAGATCTCAGGATCTCCAGTGGACCTCTAAGCTGACTTTCAGGAGATCAGCAAGAGTTCTGCATGGGATCAGGCAGTGAAGGACCTTCCCATCTGCCCACTCTGTCCACCCATTTGCGGTGAGGAGTGTGGAAATTGCTGGAGTGTATCACGCAAGGCAGGTGACTACTGCTTCTGACTGAGTGATAGGAAAAGCCGTGCCGGATCAGAC